CCAGCAACAAAGTGAGGGGCCAGAAACTGTGCAAAGATGGGAGGGAGGCTGAGAAGCAAGTCAGTGCTTTATTAACCTGGCAAAGGGGCAGCTAGGCAGCCTGAGCAGCCCCCTGCCAGACCCTCCTCTGCACTCCTCTGCCTAAGTCATGGCCCAAGCCCTAGACACGTAGGTGTGTAGGCGGGCAGGTGCAAGGCCAAGGAAGGGGTGGAGTTGTCCGATGCAGATGTTAAGGTCCAACCCGACTTCCTTCCTGAGTCTAGGGGTGGGGTCCCCCTCTCACCCCTTCCTCCCTGTACAGTTCTGGCTCTTCCTGGAGTCAGGAGGCTGTGTGTCCCACATCTGCTGTGGTCTGGAAGGTGATCCCATCCCCAGGCAATGGGGAAGCCAGGAAGGGCCAGAGCCAGACAAGGGCCCAGCGGGGCCCCAGGGCTGCCTGCAGGTTGTGGCAGGGACCCAGGTCATAGGAGTGCTGGCCCCGAGCCCACTCCCATGTGGTCTGGCCCCGCAGCAGCAGCATCCCATGGAAGAGCAGCCCAGCCCCACACAGCAGCGCACCCGCCACGCACGTGTCCGTCACGAAGGCCAAGGCGAACTGTGCCAGAGACACTCTGCCTGCAATGAAAGAGCAGAGAGGATCAGGGAGTGCCAGTGGGGCCCAGCTCTCCGTCCACCCGTGCCCCTCCACCACAAAGCAGGGCTCATTCCTCCACTCATCAAACCCTGTGTCGATACTCGCTGGCCAGCCTGTGCTGGGTGACAAGGACACACTGGTAAACTGGGCAGACACAGCCCCCTGCTTGGGATACGGCTTCATTCGTGCATCACAGACTCGTGAGCACCTCCTCAGCCCTGGAGGCGATGCCAGGCACTAGAGGGTGTCTCTGCCCTTGGGGAGCTCACAGACATTAAAGAGGCCATTCCTGGCTAGATGCGGCGTCTCACGCCTGTAATCCCAGCACTTTGGGAGGCCAAAGCAGGTAGATTACCTGAGGTCAGGAGTTCGAGACCGGCCTGGACAACATGGTGAAACCCCGTCTCTACTAAAAAATACAAAAATTAGCCAGACATGGTGGCAGGCGCCTGTAAACCTGGCTACTTGGGAAGCTGAGGGGCTCAGGCAGGAGAATTGCTTGAACCCGGGAGGGGAGGTTGCAGTGAGCTGAGATTGCACCACTGCACTCCAGCCTGGGATACAAAGCGAGACTCCATCTCAAAAAAAAAAAAAAAAAGAAAAAGGCTGGGCATGGTGGCTCACGCTGGTAATCCCAGCACTTTGGGAGGCCCAGGCAGGTGGATCATGAGGTCAGGAGTTCCAGACCAGCCTGACCAACATGGTGAAACTCCATCTCTACTAAAAATACAAAAATTAGCCAGGCGTGATTGTGCACGCCTGTAATCTCAGCTACTCAGGAGGCTGAGGCAGGATAATCGCTTGAACCCGGGAGGTGGAGGTTGCAGTGAGCCAAGATTGTGCCACTGCACTCCAGCCTGGGCGACAGAGAGAGACTCTGTCTAAAAAAAAAAAAAAAAGGCCATTCTCACCTACTTAATGTGTGCCGCCACAGAAAAGCCAGCATCCTGTGCCATCTTGGCCCACAGTCAGCAACAAGTACCTGCTGAACTAACAGACTACGAGAGGCCATGAAATGTTACGCTAAGTGAGAGAAGCCAGGCACCAAAGGTCACATGTTTATCATCCCACTTATGTGAAACATCCTGAATAGGCAAATCCACAGAGACAGACAGATTAGTGGTTGCCAGGGGCTAAAGAGATTAGGAAGGAACATGGAGGGACCACTAATGGGTGTGGGGTTTCTTTTTAGGGTGAAAATGTTGTGGAATTAGACAGTGGTGATGGTTGCACTATATCATGAATGTACTAAAAGCCACTGAATTGTACATTTTAAAGTAGTTAAAACGGGCCAGGTGCAGTGGCTCACACCTGTAATCCCAGCACTTTGGGATGCTGAGGCAGGTGGATCACCTGAGGTCAGGAGTTCCAGACCAGCCTGGCCAACATGGAAAAACCCCGTCTCTACTAAAAATACAAAAAATTAGCCGGGCATGGTGGCGCATGCCTGTAATCCCAGCTACTCAGGAGGCTGAGGCAGGAGAATCGCTTGAACCCAGAAGGCAGAGGTTGCGGTGAGCCAAGATCACGCCATTACACTCCAGCCTGGGCAACGAGCGAAACTCCATCTCAAAAAAAAAAAAAAAAAAAAAGTTAAAATGATAAATTTCACCTCAATAAAAAGAGCCCATGGCAGGGGGTCGGGGGTGGGGGATGCCATGCAAACTTATTAAGAGGATAGAGGCAGTGGACTTCATCTATTTTTTTTTTTTCATTTTTTTTTTTCTTCAGAGAGTAGACTTCATCTGTTTTTGTAAAATAAGGATAAAACATTGTTTGGGCTGGCCACGGTGGCTCACGCCTGTAATCCCAACACTTTGGGAGGCTGAGGCGGGCAGATGACCTGAGGTCAGGAGTTCGAGACCAGCCTGGCCGACATGGTGAAACCCCATCTCTACCAAAAATACAAAATTAGCCTGGCATGGTGGTGTGCACCTGTAATCCCAGCTACTTGGGAGGCCAAGGCAGGAGAATCACTTGAAGCTGGAAGGCGGAGGTTGCGGTGAGCCGAGATTGCACCATTCCACTCCAGGCAACAAGAGCGAAACTCCATTTCAAACAAAAACAAAAACCATTCTGTATGAAGGTCCTGAGGCAGGCCAGAGGCACCTGTGAGACAAGCAGGTGGACGGTCTGCAGGTCTGCAAGCACAGGGAGAAGCCCAGGCTGGACAAGCAGTTCTGCGAGTAGAGGGTGCCCTGAGACTGTGGGCGCAGCTAGACCTGCCAAAGTGTGCGCAGTGAGGGTGGAACAGCGCCTAGACAGGAGCACGGGGAAATCGGTTCTTAGGAATCAGATAAAAGATGAGAAAGGGCAACCAGAAAGGAAGGCGAACGCATCAAGGTCCCAGCCATCAATGATGCCAGGCGGAGAACACTTCTCGGGGGCTGGGGGCTGGCAGCGTCATGACTCTAAAGGGTCTCATAAAGCAAGAACTCAAGTGGGTCCTGGAGTGTGTGGAGACGGATCCCTGGGTGAGTGGTGGTGGCAGAAGCCAGGCTGGAGCAGGCAGGGAATGAGCAGCCATGAGCCTGGGCAAGTCCCTCAGGAAGCTTAGAGCAGGGCAAGTGCTGGAGGAGGATATGAGGGCAAGGGAGGGTTTGTCCAAGGTGGCTAACCGGGAGGGCAGAGGGGGGCTGGCCTGCAGGAGAGGCAGACGCCACAGCCTGAGGCCTCCAAGCAGGGAGGTAGGCACCAAACACAAGAAGCTGGGAACAGTCAGCCGGGCTCGGGGATTTGAGGACAACACAATTTGGGATGTGCCAGCTGATGTCTCACTTTCTCAGTGCCGGAGTTAGGAGGGTGGGAGAGCAGGGAAGGTTTGAGCTGCTGTCGCTGCAGGGAGCAAGCTTACGAGCAAACAGCAAGGCCAGGCATAGCCGAGGTCCTGCTGAGGTCAGCAGCTGTGAACATGGCATGGCACCAACATGCCACAGACTGCCAGTGCCTTTGGCTTTCAGCAGCCAGAGGCAGACACAGAGAAGCCAGGAAGGCACTGTGGAAGGAAGATGAGGGAGGAAGTTTGCCATGCTGGCAGGAGAATGGTGGGAAGGATGAGCTCTGAGCTGGACGTCGGTGGCAAAGGTGGAGAGGCACAGACGGGCAGTGAGGGCCACGAGCCTGTGGGCTCATGGAGCAGGTGCCAGGGCCTGGAGGAGTAAAAGATGGAGAGGAGGTGGGGAGCAGAAAGAGGGAGATGGGTGGTTTCAGGGGTGACTCATTTTTGGATTCTTACCAGGACTGGGGTGTGGACATGGGAGGAGGCGAAGGAAAGAAAAATGAAGGAGGAGGCCAAGAGCTACGCCATCCAGGCATTGAGGGGGCTGTTCATGCAAACTTCCAGACACCCTTGATTTCCACAGGGCCCAGGGCTGAGAGAGAGTCTATGACTGGAGCCAGAGTCTTCCGTGACTGAGGGGAGTGAGTGTTGACCACAAGGAGGTAGGGCAGTGCGGCTGGAGGGCTGGGACTCATGGAGGGAGGGATCATTGAGGAGGGCAGAGGAGGACCTGTTGGGAAGCTGGTGTGGGCAGATGAAGACTCTGATAACCCCAGTGGGCCACTGCCAGAGGCCTCCCCTGGGCTGTAGGTGGGGTCCATGCACAAAGCTGGGCTTGGATAGGATAAGGAGGCACAGTGACTACTCGGAGTAGCCGGAGAGGTTCCTCACTGTAGATCAAAGTGATAGAGGGAACCATGAAAAGGTCAGGAGGGAGGAATGGGGGCGAGAAAGGCCAAAGCATTCTGGGGGTAGAGAACAAAGAGTAAAAAGGACCAGCAAGGCTTCTACCTGTAGATGTGTTGGGGGAAGAGGACATACGTGTCGTCCAGAACATGGTATCTCAGGCAGCCTGCTGATCCAAGTCTGCCCTCCCCAGCTTCCCATAACTGGGCCTTCCCCTGCCTGTCACTTTCACTGGCTTCCCACTATCCAGTCAAATAAGAGCCATCTCCTCACACCAGTTCTCAGGACCCCGCCCGCCAGGCCTCCCTACCAATCTGGCCTTAATTCTCACAATGCCCTGCCCACCCTCCAAACCTTTGTTCCTACTGCTTCTCTCATTTAGAAATGCCCCTAGAATGCGCTTCCACATCCCGCCACGCAGGGACTCCCATGAGTCTTTCTCCTTTCTCAGCAACTCCCAGAATCTCCCGATTCCCTGGCCAGACCACTGCACTTGCCTCAACGCACCAGTTTCCGTACTGCCCCCCGCTGGGTGAATACCAAGCTGCCCTTTCTGGCCATCACTGACACTGGGGCTGGGTCCCCCAGGCCAGAAAGCCTGTCTCCCACCAGAATGGGCTGTACTCCCCAGCCCAATACCAGGGCCCCTGCCTCTGTGCAGAGGCCTCCCAGGCTCCCCACCTGTGAGCAGCATGAGCCAGGGAAGCAGCAGGAGGGCAGCCATGTGGAGGGGCGTGTGGGCTCGCAGCAGGGCCGATAGTGCAGGTCCCAGCAGCACGGAGATGTGGAGCAGGACGCCGGCAGCATGAAGCAGCAGGCACAGGAACGGCCGGTAGTTGCCGAAGCCCACGCAGCGGCCCAGCAGTCGGCAGTGGTGGTCCCGACGCAGGATGCAGACGCGGCAGGCAGAGCAGTGTCCGCTGCGTGGCGGCACCTGGCTTTGGCACTGGTAGCAGTAACTGCAGGAAGGAACCACAGGGTCAGTTCCCCCAGCAGCTCAGGTGCCCCATACTGTGCACGGGGCAGCCCTGGAGCCCATCCTGAGGAAGCAGCAACAGCCATTCACCCTGGCTAAGCCTCAATTTCTTTACAAGTAAATGCAGGATAAACAAGATGTCCCCGGCCCTTCTAGTTCTAGCACTACAAGTCTGAGGTCTCTTCCAGCCCTAACGTCCCCAGTCCTGAGACCTCTCTCAAGCCACTGACATCTAGCAGCAAATCTCTCCCTTCCTCCACGGTCACCCCGTTGTCCAGGTCACCGGGACCTCTCTGGATTACTGCAATAGCCTCTCAACTGGTCTCTGATTCCATCTTTGCCCCTCCTCGTACAGTCTCACCCCAGCAACCAAACTGACCCTCCTCTGCTTAAAACCCTCCTGTGGTTCTCCAATTTATTTCTAGTAAAAAGCAAAGCCTTCAGTGTCCTACAACATCCTTCCATCTGTGACATCTCTTCCCCTCTCTTACTCCACTACAGCCACACTGGCCTTGCTGTTCTGGGAACATACATGCTAGGCACACAACTGATTCAGAGCCTTTGCACCACTAGTTCCCTCTGCCTGGAACACCCTTCCCTCAGATTCCCACATGGCTAACCCCCGCCACCCCCTCCAAGTTTTTTGCTCAAATGCCTCCTCCTCTATGAGGTCTATGTTGACCATGTATTTATTTATATTATTTTTAAAATTAATTTTAAAAAAATTTTAGAGACAGAGTCTTGCTACATTACCGAGGCTGGAGTGTAGTGGCTGTTCACAGGTGTGATCATAGCACACTACAGCCTCAGCTTCTCGGGTAGCTGGGACTACAGGCGAAAGCCTGTGCCTGGCATAAAATTTGTGTGTAGAGCCGTACTTGGTGTAATTTTTATTTTCTAATTATAAATTGACAAATTCCAGTTGTATATACTTATGGGATACCAAGCGATGTCATCATTTATCAGTACAACTTGGAATAATCAAGCTAATTAGGATAGCCATTACCTCAAACACTTATATTTTTGTGATGAGAATTTACCACCTATTTATTTATGTATTTATGTATTTATTTATTTGAGACGGAGTCTTGCTCTGTCGCTCAGGCTGGAGTGCAGTGGCTGGATCTCAGCTCACTGCAACCTCTGCCTCCCAGGTTCAAACAATTCTCTTACCTCAGCCTCCCAAGTAGCTGGGATTACAGGCATGCGTCACCACGCTCGGCTAATTTTTTTGTATTTTTAGTAGAGACAGGGTTTCACCACGTTGGCTAGGCTGGTAAACTTCTGACCTTAAGTGATCCGCCGGCCTCGGCCTCCCAAAGTGCTGGGATTACAGGCGTGAGCCAACGCGCCCGGCCTAACCACCTATTCAATACTGAAACTTGCAACCCCTTTACCCTGCTCTACTTCTTGTTTCCAAACTACTATCACCTTCTAGCTTCTATATGATTTGCTTACTTACTGTTCCTCTAGTTTCTCATCTGCCCCCCTCAAATTAGCTCCGTATCAGGAATCTGTTCTATTGTACCCTTCGTCCCTGTAACAATACCTTGCACCTAGTAGGTGCCCGATAAGTATTTGTGAGTGAATAACACTCAATTATAGCTCTTCCATCCCAGGTTCTAAAAAAATTTCTGGCTCTAACAACCTGAATCCTAATGTAACCCGCTTCTACCATCTGAGGTCTTGGGGCCCCTCCCCACTGTCCAAGGCGCCCACTTCTCCCCCCGGATCCCGCACCCCACTCACGCCCAGCCCTGGCCCAGACCGCGGCCGGCCAGCATCACGCCCCGGATGCTGGGATCCGAGCGCAGGAAGAGCCCCACGTTGCCCAGCAGGTTGAGCAGCTGGAAGGCGGCCAACGCCAGCTGCAAGGCCCGGGCCAGGGGTCCCAGCGGGGGCGGCCCGGGACCGAGCACCAGCACGTAAGCCAGCTCCAGGCCCACGGCCGCGGCCCACAGCGCGGTGAGCACGAGAGGCAGCCGCGCGGGCGCCCCGTCCGCGCTCCCAGCCGCCCAGGGCTGCCCCATGGCCTGGACACCCAGCTGTCGGAGCCGGGGGACTAGGCCGCTTCCGTATTGGGGCGGAGATAGCGGCAGACGGACGTCTGCCACGGCCAATAGAAGCTCGGAAGGGGTGAGGCGAGGGCTCAGACCCTAAGGGAACGGCCGGCCGACGCGGCGAGTTGATTGGACCGACGGACCAGCCGTGGGGCGTTTGGAATCCCGCGGCGCTGGAGCCCGGATGACTTCGCAGCGCGATTGACCCGCCCACCCTGGAGGCCCCTCCCCTCCTGCCGGAGCCCCGCCCTCTGGCGGCGGGGCCAGGAGTGCCCTGGGGATTGAGTTGCAGCCGGGGTAGTGTCGGGGTTTCCCGGCTCAGCACATTCTCCCCTACTCCCCCTGGCCGCCCCGATATTAATAGCCCTGCCGCAGCCCATCCAGCTGGCTCAGAGCCGTTCCCCATGCCCGGGTGTCTCCCTTCATCACCCCAGAAAACATGCAAAACAGCTCGGCGCCTCTGTGTTCCTGACTGTGAAATGGGGATAGGGCTCCGTGTCCCACCAGCGAGGTGCTGGAAGAGGCTCACGAGGAGCTCGAGGGCAGCCTCTAGGGCGGCCCGCGGTGACTATTATTATCGGCCTTTCTATTGTGGAGAGGAGGAAACAGACTCAGAGAGGTCCCGTGGATTTCCCAAGGTCACACAGCGCCCCAGTAGCGGAGCGGGAATGCAAACCCAGGATCTCCGCCGCGAGATCCACCCCGGCTTCCCCGAGTTCCGCAGTCTCCGGCTCCAGGACAACCCCTTGCCAGGTCTAACCCGAGCTCCTTCACCCCCATCCGGCCCCTCCCTCCTCCCCCATATTTAGTGCGAATTCGATCTGGGGCTGGGCTGGGCCCTACTTAACCGGGCCCGGGTGTCCGAGAGCGCGCCGAGCGGAGCGAAGCCAGGAGCCCGAGCGAGATGATGATGGTTATGCAGCCCGAGGGTCTGGGGGCCAGGGAGGGGCCCTTCGCGGGCAGCGGCGGGGGCGGCGAGTACATGGAACAGGAGGAGGACTGGGACCGCGACCTGCTGCTGGACCCGGCCTGGGAGAAGCAGCAGCGGAAAGTGAGTGCTCGCCCATTTCCTGACAGCAAAACCGAGGCCTGAGAGGCCGGGCGGTTTATCCTGGGCATCTCAGCAGGGCAGGGGCAGAGCTTGTCTTTAACCTAGAGTGCTAATCCCCAGCCCAGGCTCTGCCCATCAGCTGCCTGCTGTCCCCAGGGCTGGAGGAGAGGGCTGGGAGCCCTCAAGAGGGGTTTAAAATGACAAGAGAGTTTCTGGGGTCCCCACCCCACCAGGGTTCAGTCCCCTGGACCCACTGCCCCACTTCTGCTGGTGAAAACAGGCTGGGCAAAGCCCAGGAGATCCAAGTTAGGGGGTTCAGGAAGAAGAATCTTCCTCCCACCACTCTCTAGTTAAATATTCCCGGACCCCACCTTAAGGGCTTGCAGCCAGGCAACTAGTGGACTTGGGAGTGTGGGGGTGGTGAGAAGGGTCCTCTCAGACCCCACCCCACCTCGTTTCCAGGGTGGGGTCCATAGTCACTGTATCTCATTTAACAACTGAAGAAACTGAAGCCCCAAAAGGAGCACAGACAGGCCCCAAATCACAGACTGTCAGACATCAGGACCTCCGCAACCTAAGGATCTTTACCCCTTTCCCCACCCCCATTCTTTCCCAAGATACCCCAGGCGTGGGGCCCTGAGTCTGCTGAAAAGGCCATAGGTCGAGGAGGAGGGAAGACCTGGGTCCCCTTACGCAGTAACCTGACTCTCCAGCCAGATGGACACGTAGTGCTGAGGCAGCACCTCGGGGGTGCTGGAGACGGGCACAGGGGCAGCTGCTGCCCAGGCCCAGCCCATCAGGCACTCAGGGCCCCTCCCTCCCTGAGTTATTTTCACTCCCAGACTTTCCCAAGTAGAGGGGGCAGGACACCTGGGTTCCCAAAGAGAAAATGATCCGGGCCAGAGGGAGAAAACTTTGGGGAGTGGCAGGCCGGTAACCAGGAGGGCACCATAAGGCCATTGGACCCTGCTCAGTGTGTGCCAACACTGTATGACTCCAGGAAAGGGCAGGGTACTCAGGTACTCAGTGGAATTTGCAGTACCTGAGAATCCTAGAATTTAGAATCAGAGCACTTCCACTGGGTTAGATGACAGGAGATGACCCCAAGGGCCAAGAGGCTCCGCTGAGTCGGCTGGGGTGCCCTGGGTGACAGGCTTCCACTTAGGCTCCCCCTGCACCTGTCTCCAAGCACAGCTGCAGTCCCAGGTTCGGCAATTTCCCAGTGATGTCATCCCTGTCCTTGGCTCCAGCTGCCACCTATTCTGCAACATCTTCTATCCCTACCCCCACCCACCCGGGCCTCTCCCAGATCCAGGTCCGCATGCCCCTCATATGACACATGCCAGTCTGTAACTTGTCTTTGTCACCTAACAAATTATCAGGAACATCTGTTCATCCCAACTTGCAGTCACCACCTCATCCATTCATTCAACGGCTACACAGCATACAGGCTCTGAATATCAATCAGCATCTCTTGTAGTTGGACATTTGGCTCATTTCTTTCTAGTCCAGCGTTGTTTATTGCAAGGTGGTAATAAACATCCTCTTGCTCAGCTTTAGCCCTGATGCCTCCCTGTTCCTCTGTGCTCCCTTCCTCCCCAGTGACTCCTCCATCCAAGGGCTTCCTTCATACAGTCTTGGAGCAGCACACTGCCTTGGCCCACATGATGTCTTACTATGTGCCAGCACTGTTTTAAGTGCTGGGATTTGGCAGCAGACAAAATAAAGCCCCTGCCATGGGAGCTTACATTCCAACATTTCTGTCTCATCCATCCGATCCTGCCTTGTCCCCCTCACTGACACCCTTCCTCTCTTGCCCTGGTCCCAGTGGCTGCCTCCTCATTTCTCTCTTTTGCCATGCCAAGCCATTCATCTCCACTCTGCAACCAGCATGGACAGTTCTGCCCACCTCCCTCCTGCCTGAGGCTTCCCTGATTCCCTGTTGCCCTCTGGATCAAATTTTAACTCCCCAGCTTAGCACCCAGGATCGCGCATGACCTGGCCCCTGCTGCCCCTCCGGCCCGCCTCTCACCACTTATACCCCAACAACCCCAGCTCCATTCCAGCAGTGCCCAGATCCTTGTAGTCCGACAAATGTAGCAACTGTTTCTCACAGCCAGCGAGCACTTGCCCGCATGATTGCCCCTGCCTGAAATGCCCTTGCCTGCCCTTCCCTTCCTGAATGATTCCTGCCCATCACAACTCTGATCAAATACTTGCCTTCCCCAAGAGGCCCCCGCCCTGATCCAACTTCCCTCCCATAAACTCCTTGGCAACCTCTTACAGCGCTTCTCAGACCAACGTGACTCTTGGATGGGCTATGAGCTTCCTTAGGGCAGGAAAGACTCTCATTAAGAGTCTTTGTGGTATGGGGATGCTCTGAATCCAAGAATCCTGCCAGGTTGGAAGAAGAAAGACCTAAGATATCATAGATTCTGATCCTTTAATTACACAAATGGGGAGACCAAGCCCCAAAGGGGGAAAGGGGCTGACCCTGGATCACAGAGCATGAGTGGCTCAGTTGGACTTGGAGCCCACCCTGACTCTACCAGGGAGTCTATGGAAAGGCAGAATTCGGGACCTGAAGGGCGGTAGGTTGGCAGAAACTTGTGTACCAAGTGTGATGTCACCCCTATCGCCAACAGACACACAGCCCTGTACCATCCCTCCTATCTCAGATGGAGGCTGAGGCTGAGGCTGAGGCTGACTCTTGGGGAAGGGGTGGGCAGTCATCCCCAGAAATGAGATCAGACCAGATGTGGTGGCTTATGCCTGTAATCCCAACACTTTGGGAAGCCAAGGCAGGAGGATCACTTGAGCCCAGGAGCTTGAGACAAACCTGAGCAACATAGTAAGACCCTGTCTCTCTCTAAAAAAACAAAATGAGATCAGGCTGGGCCTGAGTGCCAGCTGATGCTCCAATAGCCCACAGAGTCCTTGCACACTTAGGGTCTACTCAGAGGCCAATTTACAACAACCCTAGAAGGTAAGAACTGATAAAAATAGAAACACAGAGACAGTCCCTTAGGCAAAACTCTGAGGGCCAGATGTGCTTCAGTCCAGGAGTTTTCAGATTTCAGAAAGGCAATATCACCCTGCACTAGCTCCTGTAGTTCAAAACCTCAGAGGGCCCCACACTTTGAATGGGTTAACATTTTCTAAGGGTCTTCCCGTGTTTAAGACCCCCAAGGCTAGAGTGCTGGTGGCCGGGTGCCCCAAGTCTGAACTGGGACCTGCATGGGTCCCACACCCCATTTCTCCCCTCTCAGGAAAACTAAAGCTCAGAGAGGGAAAGGGACTGGCCCAGGATGCACAGCAAGTCAGTGGCTGAGCTGAGCTGTGATTTGAATCCAGAAATACAAGGCTCTGAGACCTACCCTGACTGAGGAGACAGGACTGTGCCCCACATCCCCGAGCCGATCGTAGGGTCTGAGTGCTGTCCTCTGCCCCCAGACCTTCACTGCCTGGTGCAACTCACACCTGCGCAAAGCGGGCACCCAGATTGAGAACATCGAGGACGATTTCCGCAATGGCCTCAAACTCATGCTGCTCCTGGAGGTCATTTCAGGTGAGGATGTCAAATCAGTGCACCTGAGCCCCAGGACCCAGGAACATCTGGACAGCAGGGGGAATAGGGTGGCAGAGTGTTGGACGGGACTTGGTGGAGAGGGGAGAGTTTGCGGACAATGACTTCTGCTGCCTCTCATGACCTTTGGCCCTTGGCCTTTCCTCTTATACCCAGGAGAGAGGCTGCCCAGGCCAGATAAAGGCAAGATGCGCTTCCACAAAATCGCCAACGTTAACAAGGCCCTGGACTTCATTGCCAGCAAGGGGGTTAAGCTGGTGTCCATTGGTGCTGAAGGTGAGGAGGTGGCAGGAAGGGTCCTGGGCAGGGCGCGGGGGCCTCTCTTGACGTCAGCAAATCACCTCTGTGGGCCTCAGTTTCCTCGTCTCATCAATGGGAATAATCCCTGCCTCGCAAGAGAGCCTGTAAAGAGCCAATGTACCAACCAGGCACAGTGGCTTCCGCCTGTAATCTCGGCATTTTGGGAGGCTGAGGTGGGTGGACCACTTGAGGCTAAGAGTTTGAAACCAGCCTGGCCAACATGGCAAAACCCCATCCCTACTAAAAATACAAAAATCAACTGGTGGTGGCTCACACCTGTAATCCCAGCTACTTGGGAGACTGAGGCACAAGAATCGAATGAACCTGGGAGGCGGAGGTTGCAGTGAGCCGAGATCGCGCCACTGTACCCCAGCCTGGGTAACAGAGCAAGAGACTCCATCTGAAAAAAAAAAAAAAAAAAAGAGCCAGCCAGGCGTGGTGGCTCACACCTGTAATCCCAGCACTTTGGGAGGCAAAGGGGTGGGGCTCACAAGGTCAGGAGATCGAGACCATCCTGGCCTACATGGTGAAACCCCGTCTCTACTCAAAATACAAAAATTAGCTGGGTGTGGCAGCACGTGACTGTAATCCCAGCTACTCAGGAGGCTAAGGCAGGAGAATCGCTTGAACCCGGTAGGCAGAGGTTGCAGTGAGTTGAGATCCTGCCACTGCACTCCAGCCTGGCAACAGAGCTAGACTCCGTCTAAAAAAAAAAAAAAAAAAAAAGCCAAACTGCCAGCGCAGCCCCTGAACCCTAGTAAGAGTTCAGTGAAATAATTTCTAAATAACAAGCAAGGCATGGTAGCACGTGCCTGTAGTCTCAGTTACTTGGGAG